TTGTTTTCGAAAACGCATTTTCGAAAATTGGAAAGAGAGTGCGTTTTCACTTTTGAAAAATTGAAAACAGAAAACGACCCGAAAACGACAAAGAGAACATGACCTAAAATTTTTAAATCAATGGGAAGAAGTAAAGTTTGAACATAATTCGTATTGTGAGTATTGCATATTCTGTTCTCTGGACATCTTCAAGCTTTAAATTGGAACCAAAAAATAAAATAAAATAAAAATATTATGCTAATATTAATATTAAATTAATAATTAGGTAGTTCTGGTCTTCTGGAATTCTAGTAATATTCTGCTAATAGTATTAATATCCACACTCGTGGTTGTTCTAGATAATTTCTTAGGTTTCCCTCTCACATTAGGACTTTTACTTAATTATATAAATAAGCCGTGCCATAATACACACTCTTGAGTTTTCAAAGTTATGAGAGAGAAGTATTATTGCGATAGGAATTTATATTACTCTTACCACATTCCAGGGGAAAAGAACACACTAAATCATTGCACATGGCATCAGGTACGATGACTCTTGTTTCTGTAATATTTGTGTACGAATTGTTAAGGTAATATTTTCTAGATTATGCCTTTGTGTACCAAAAAATATTAAGGAAAACGAATTTATAAACACACGAACACATAGATTTATCGTGGTTGATTCAAGGGTTTTACGACGAAGAAGAATGAGTTACGAAGTGATCTCACTCCTTGAGTCTACGTCTAACATAACTACCACCCTTAAAAATCCTATATATATTTGCACATAAATTTGATCTTTGTTCTTCAGGTTCTAACTCGGAGTGTGCTACCAATGTCAAGTTCAAACACTTTGATGTTGTGCCAGAGGCATCAGATCATTACTACCGCGATTCTAAACTATCATATTTCAGTAATGCAGACAATTCTGTGTATCGGAAAATCATGAAAGAATGGAGAAGTCTCGAAAAAGATCTTCCTGAATCCATCTATGTCCAAGTTTACGAGACTAGAATTAATCTGCTTCGTGCTGTGATTATTGGCGCTGAAGGGACGCCTTATCACAATGGTCTCTTCTTCTTTGACATTTGCCTACCGTATGATTATCCAAGACAACCTCCGAAAGTTTACTATCATGCACACGGCATTCGTTTGAATCCAAATCTTTATCCTAATGGAAAAGTTTGTTTGAGCCTACTCAACACCTGGTCCGGGTCTAAAAAGGAGATGTGGACACAGAATTCGACTATTCTTCAGGTTTTGGTCTCTATTCAAGGGCTCATACTTAACGAGAGACCCCTTTTCAACGAACCTTTCAGTGTAGAATCCAATAATACCAAGAATCCAGTTTGGATCAAGCAATTTGTGGCTTATAATGAGAAAGTGTTCATTTTGTCTTGTAAGACAATGATCTACACAATGCGTAATCCGCCAAAGAATTTTGAGATTTTTGTCGTTGAATACTTCTCCAAGAATGCAAATTCCATACTGGCGTCCGTTATCGCTCAACAAGATCAACATCTGCTGGTTGGTTTATGTTCGATCAAGGCTTCGTCCTCGTTTAAGTCGGAATTGAAAAAGATGCATTCAAAACTCAAAAAGGTGTTTGATATAATATCAGAGCCAAACATCAAGAACTCTGAGAAATTTGAGAAGGTTCAAAAGGCGACCAAGTGGATGAAGTGGATAGAGCTACATGTGTTCTTCCAAAGTACTTCCATGTTTATTATTTTTTTGGTTCTACTCTTGTTTGCCTTCCGCTTGTTGACTGAATTTGTCAGATATCTAGGTTCCTATATATTTTACTAGCATGTCACACCCAAAAAGACAATTTTTCATTGGCCAAGGGCCAGAAATTATTAAAAAACGGTGCATATAAAGTGCACATTTGCTGATATCATAATGTGGGTTCTCTGTTTACTTGAGTGTGAAACAATTTGATGAAAAAATAACCTATCAATATGCATATTTAGCTTGAGTTTGACACCCATTTTGAAAATAAAAATGAATTCTGGAATAATGATTGATAGAAGAATGTGTGGTTGAAAAGTAATGAAAAATTTTAGATTTGTTGGAGAATGTGTTGTTGAAATGAAGAACGAGAAAAAAATAAGAATGGGAATAGATGTCAAAGAAGGCCTTAGATTATATTTTGCTTCATTTTCTTGGGTTGGATTCTATAAAAGTTTTCTATAGTATGATGCCATGTCAATAAAAGTTTTCTCTTGTGAGAAAGGTATACTCTAGTTTAGTTTGATAAGCTTAAAAGTTTACTTATAAGTAAGTTACAATATAAATATTTTTTTACTTGTCAAAATTAAAAATAATTAACTTATTCAAAATTGGTTACAAACAGTGTTCTAAAATGCGTAGCGAAGCGTCGAGGTCGAGAATCAAGAATCACAAGTTTAGGCGTGTCAATGCGAAGAATAAGCGTCATAATACGTTTTATATTTTTAAGGCATTAAATATATTTTTATATAAAAAAATAGATTTTTTAATATATAAAAAAAAATTTGTTACATCATTTTTTTCATGCCAAATTTTGCTTATCAAACAAGTGTTTAACATGGAAATGGAATT